TGACGGACCTGGGAGACAAATGAAGCATTTCTGGGAGATAAATGAAAAGAACCGGGAGACAAATGAAAGCAAGTGGGAGACAAGCGGGCCGGGAACCCGACCACAAGCACCCAGCCTGGGAGACAAATGAAAAGAAGTGGGTGACAAATGAAAAGAAGTGGGAGACAAATAAGAGGAAGTGGGAGACAAGCCGGCCGGGAACCCGACCACAAGCAGAAAAGAAGTGGGAGACAAATGAAAGGAAGTGGGAGACAAGCTGGCCGGGAACCCGACCACAAGCACCCAGCCTACCGAGCCTGGGAGGCAAATGAAAGGAAGTGGGAGACAAGCCAGCCGGGAACCCGACCACAAGCACCCAGCCTGGGAGACAAATGAAAAGAAGTGGGAGACAAATGAAAGGAAGTGGGAGACAAGCCGGCCCGGAACCCGACGACAAGCACCCAGCCTGGGAGACAATGAAAAGAAGTGGGAGACAAATGAAAGGAAGTGGCCTGGGAGACAAATGAAAAGAATTGGGAGGCAAATGAAAGGAAGTGGGAGACAAGCCAGCCGGGAACCCCGACTGAAAAGAACTGGGAGACAAAGGAAGTGGGAGACAAGCCGGCTGGGAACCCGACCACAAGCACCCAGCCTGGGAGACAAATGAAAAGAACTGGGAGACAAACGAAAAGAAGTGGGAGACAAATGAAAGGAAGTGGGAGACAAGCCAGCCGCGAACCCGACCACAAGCACCGAGCTTGGGAGACAAGTGAAAAGAAGTGGGAGACAAATAAAAGGAAGTGGGAGACTAGCCGGCCGGGAACCCGACCAGACCATCCAGCACCAAGGCGACCATTCTGTAAAGCATTGAGAACCCCTAACAGTAAACTGTTTGGGGAACAAATGAAAAGAAGTGGGAGACATATGAAAGGAAGTGGGAGACAAGCCAGCCGGAAACCCGACCACAAGCACCCAGCCTGGGAGACAAATGATAAGAAGTGGGAGACAAATGAAAAGAAGTGGGAGACAAATGAAAAGAAGTGGGAGACAAATGAAAGGAAGTGGGAACCCAGCCTGGGAGACAAATGAAAAGAACTGGGAGACAAATGAAAAG